CATTGTCAACCAAACCCACCACCAAGTTTTAAATGGTCTAAGAGAGTTGAAACAAAGTGTAAATACAAGCAAGACATTTAGATTAATTAATTTAAAAAAAATACTGAAGTATTGATAAACACACCTTTTTTGTTCATTATGAAATTTTACCCACATCAACATTGTAAATGCTGTGGAAGCTATCAACGGTGAATCCAATAAAATAAGTCTGCTTTGAGTTACTAAGCCGTTCTCTTTTGAAGAAATCATAATATATTACCAACATATTATAAATTTTATTACAAATTTAATACAATTAAACATACCAAATATCAATAAAGCAGAAACCAGAAATGCAGCAGTTGTCGAAAATCCAGATAATTTAATTGTCAAATAAGAGATCGGTATTATAAAAACTCCCAAAATTCCTGATATCAGGCGCATTGTCACATATGGATAATTAGATCCAGAAAATTCACTATGTTTATGATGAATATAAAAATCAGAAAATGCAAAATAACAAAAAAAACAAATAGACATGCCAAATTTACTTTTCATTTTCTAAATCAAGGATTCCATCGTATCCACTCAAGAAACCCGAAAGAGCGATTAGCAACTTTGCCAATGGTGGGTGTACATCAATAAAGAAGGTTCTCCTGATATATTTCCTAAGAACAAATAATGGATAAATTGAATATCAGATTTAAAATGAATCTCTAAATACAATTAGCAATTCAAATGTGAAATTCTTACGAAGCGAGAGTCATAAAATGCATCTCATCAAATCTGGTATATTTAAAAAGTGTAATAATAATTAGAGAATTGATGAAATGAGAGATTGATCTGAACTAAACTACTTGCTTACACAGCCGAACTTGGATGGTCCAGACGATACAATCTTACAATGATAGAAACGACAATGAGCCCGAGGAAGTTACACACATCGCTAGTAGATATTCCTGTAAGGAATTTGGAAATGCTTTTTACACCATTCTCTTTTGTGCCGTACATTAGCAGATCATCATCTGGTAGGTCATGTATTGATGGTGAGTCAGGCTCTTTAAATACATTTTTTCGATGTCTTATATCACCCAGACTCACAACGGATGTTGAATATCGAACTAAAATTGCAAAAATTAACCATGTAAGACTTTATACAACATGTACATTGAAAACCCGCGAAATGATTCATACCCGGATTGAAAATTACTTCATAGTCTTCGTTATTTAGTTTATAATCCATTTTTTTTTTTTTTTTTAATTTTGTTGAGATAACAACGATTGTTATTAAATTTTTCACGTAATTCATATTTATTCGTGTGTATATGCGTGTGTACCGAAGAGTAAATTAAAAATCACCAATCAGAAGATCCAATGTGTATGTACGCACGTACCTGCATGCATGTTTATTTCCCTATTATAATCAATAATAAACTAAATTAACGCATTCCTTTTTTGACATTTTAGGCGACATTGCATTATTCTCAGTAAACAATAATTTTATTAAAAAACAATCTGTATAGTACTGCTTAAACAAATTCGAGTAGAGTTCTGCAACCCTGTCGATGTTTTGGTCTCTTTTTTTATGATTTTTTAATAATGGTGATGGTATATTCATTATGACACTCATGCATCACATCAATGACAATATTTGTAGAATTAAATGCTTGAGCATACTTTTTTTTTTTATTTTTCGTGATCTTCTTTATGCCACCTAGAAAATCTAATAAAAAAATTCCTGTTCAACCAGTTGCCGAAACTTCAATTTCAGTTGCGCCGGCTTCTCTTTTATGATTTTACCAATTTAAATTTTTTGTCGCAACAACTTACGACATCATGCACATGGATGCATGCATGAATATGCATTCATGCATGCGCATGGTTTGGTGGTCTATATACAGACAAAAGGAAAAAATTATATAAAATAAAAAAAAAAGGAATGACAATAGTTAAAGCGAGATTGGTGGTTAAATTGACACACCAACAATAATCACTTCACAAACGACATTGATATTTGGTTTGTCTCTCATTTTTGGGATAAACTATAACGTACACAGGTACTGCCTCTTCCGCTATCGAGCAACCTACGCAGCCTTAGCGAGTATCGACTGACTATTATGTATATTTTTTTTTTTTTTGGATATGTGACGCATTAGCTGTCGTTATACATGGGTGTCTAAATTGCCCATCTTAATAAAAAAGTAATTTAGGCTGCCGAAATTAATCTTATATAGTGCCGAAATTATTGGCGAAAATTTTTGAACCCTTTTCATCAAAATATATCATATAATATAATTATTTCGAAGGGGTTCATATAAAAAATTTAGCGATGCCGAAATGTTTGCCAAAAATACGTTTTTTCAAAAATAATTTAGACACCCATGTATAGCTGTCGTTCCGACATGCCATTGCCCTATTGTGACTGTCGTCTCAACAGGCCACAATTTAAACAATCCCTATACTCAAAAGCATATTCTATTCTTTAATCATTCTCTTACTATGGCTGCAGTCCCGGCAGGCCAATTCAATCAAGTACTGTCTTACTTCTGGGTAGGTCGATATAACCAGAACCCTAATCATACTTCCATCAATAATCGTATTACTAAATACCTAATTGCCTCATACTTACGTTCTACTGTATCAATCGATCGATAGAACATGCGATCATAACAACTACCCCAGTATCGCGCCGAGTCTACGGACAGTTCTTACGGACAGTGCATGCTGACTAGCATTAACTAAATCCACCTACCCAACTCTAACCCTAACCCTAATTCTGGCCACTGAACTGTCCCTAAGAACTGTCCGTAGCTTCTGCGCCAGTAGCGCCTGAAAAAAGTTGCAGTCACGTGAAATTTTCGTAGTGTAAACAAATCAGATTTTAATCAGGAATATTCAAAACAAACGTTCGCTTTGTCAAAAATCGCTTGTTTCTCAAAAAGCAGCATAAGAAACTGTCTTTAGTGCTTTAACAAAAAGTTTTCCTTGAGCGATTTTACTATTAAAACTTCTCTAACCCTAACCCTAGCATAAACCCTAACTCTAACCTGAACGAACTTTACAGAATTTTTGATTTTCATGTAATTGCAACATTTTTAGGCAACACTGGGGAAGATTCTAAAGCCGTGTCCAATCACTGACATATAACCAAT